ACTGCAAAAGGTGGACCGACAACATATTGAACCCTATGGGTTAGGAATGGGATGGCACTTAAGTTCATATGTGAGTCAAGGCAGGTGACCGAATACTTTTGGTAATATAGTGTATATATATACTTATATTTATATTTATATTTATTTTACACTCAACATCCACTTTAATAGGAACACCTGCTCATTTATGCAGTTATCCAATCAGCTAATCATGCGACAGCAGCACAATGGATAAAATCACGCAGATACAGGTCAGTTTTATGAAAAACAACACATCAACACTTGAGGTGGATGGGCTATAACAGCAGAAGACCACATCAGGTTCCACTCCTGTCAGCCAAGGACAAGAAGCTGAGGTTTTCATGGGCACAGACTCACTGAAACTGGACAGAGAAAAGACTGGAAGAAGACCAGGTGATTTTTTTCTAATCTTCCACTGTCCAGTTTCTGTGAGCCTGTGCCCAGTGTAGCCTCAGATTCCTGTTTGTGGCTGACAGGAGAGGAACCCAATGTGGTCTTCTGTTGTTGTAGCCCATCCACCTCAGGGTTTGATGTTGTTTGCATGCTGAGATGCTTTTCTGCTCACCACAGTTGTAGAGAGTGATTATATGAGTATATCCTTCTTGGCAGCTCAAACCAATCTGGCCATTTTCCTCTGACCTCTCTTATCAACAAGGCGTTTCCACCCACAGAACTGTTGGTCACTCAATGTTTTTTGTTTTTCGCACCATTCTGTGTAAACTCTAGAGATTGTTGTGTGTGAAAATCCCAGGAGAGCAGCAGTTTCCTGAAATACTTAAATCAGCCCATCTGGCACCAACAACCATTCCACAGTTAAAGCACAGAGATCACATATTTTTCCATTCTGTTGTTTGATATGAACATTTATCTGAAGCTCTTGACCTGTAGCTGCACGATTTTTTTGTATTGTGCTGCTGCCACATGATTGGCTGAATGGAAAACTGTGTAAATGAGCAGGTTAGGGTTAGGGTTAATAGAGTACAGATTTCCCTATTAAAGTGGATGGAGAGTGTATATATAAGAGGGTGTACTGGACAACATTAGTTATGTGTCTAATTGCAGTTCTGTGAATACTGGATAAGCACAATGGACTGTGTTTAACACCTGGATACCTTCTTGTGTGTGTGCACCTTACAAAAACTCACATGGTGACCATGTGAAGTAGTATTTCCTATAAAATCCCATCAAAAATGCCTATCTGTCCCTGAATCCTTCTTGTGGAGTTGGTTCCGAGTGACAGGAAACCCTGGTAGTAGTCCTGTGTTCATAGACCCACAGTTACATAGGTAACTAACACGTGATAACCGATACCCCTATGTAACAAGGAACTGACTCACCCTAGGACTAATTGGAAGGGTGTTGGGATATGATTGCCATGCTCATCCCAGTAGAAGGGGCAGTAGAATGTTAACCTTGTAGAATTTGGAGAAGGTGCATTATGATGCCCAGGTAGCTACAGCACAGACCTCCTGGAATGGCATGCTTTTAACTACTGCCCATGAGGAGGAAATGCTCCTTGTGGAGTACCAAGTCACTACAGTGACTGGGTGTCTGGCCTGCTTGTAGACCAGGTTGATGACATCCACCATTCAGTGGACCAGTTTCTACTTAGGCAGGGAGGGGTCCCCATGTCTTTCCACCATAAAAGGTAAACAGTTGATCTGATGATTAAATTGCTGCCATCCAGTCCACACTATAGGCCACACACTGGGCATAGCACTACTTTCAGCAGGTTCCCCTTCTTGGAATGCTGTGAGGTGAATAGAAGATTGTTTATATGTTTTTAGGCACAAACATGGGGTTTAGCTCAAGGTCACACCAAAGTCATCTGGACAACTATGCTTGCAGGGAGGATGCACAGCTAAAGTCTGTTATCATGATTGCTAGCAAAAAGACTGTCTTTGGAGAGACACATTTCAGTTTGGCATCCTGTATGGGTCCATAAGGAAAAGTCTTAAGGGACCCCAGTACAAAAGTGAGATCACAAGCTGGGCTTTTCGTGAAGCATGGTGGGCAAAGGTGTCTTGTTCCTTTCAGAAAGGCTGTGACAATTTTTGAGCCCCCAGTGAACTACCATCCCTCATGAATGGGCTCTTTACCAGTGGGTGGGCTTCTCCTGTAGGGCCGACCCCCAGAGTAAGATGCCTTCTAGAGGTCTGAGGGCATGGCTTGGATTGTGGTAACCACAGTTGGCCCCTGCTGAGAAGCAGATTAGCACAGAGCTGCCCTGTATCTTGGCCTAAGTGTCAAACTGCCAAAAGTGCAGTTATGATCAGTTCCATCACAGAAGGTCAAAGGGTTCATGCAGCAAAATTGCTAGTGTATTCCCTGTGCATGCCATGTGTGAGGCAATATTGTAAGACCTCATCTGAATGTCAGCAATATACCTACATTTGGTGCTCAGGCAGCATACATCTCAGTGTAGTGTTTCATCAGGTGAAACACTATTACTGTGATGCAGTGGTAGCTCAGTGGATAAAACATTGGCTTTCTGATTGGCAGGTCATGAGTTTGAATCCCAGCACTGCCAAAATGCCACTGCTGGGCCCTTGAACAAGGCCCTTAACCCTCCACTGCTTAGTTGTATAAAGTTAGATAAATGTAAGTCACTCTTGATAAGGGCATCTGCCAAGTGCTGTAAATGATGCAAGTGTCAATGGCAGGCATGTGGCCAAGGCTGACCTGCTTACCAGCAATTTTGGCCAAAGCACTGCCATGGCAAGGTGCAGCTGATGAGTGAAAACCTATTTTAAATTTCTCAATATAATATTGAAATCCTTTGTGGCCGGGACTGTGGAGAAGAGCTTAAAAAGTTTGAGAACCCCTGATCTACACACTTTGAAGTAGACTCAGTGTCCATGAACATTTATGGTTAGCAGACTCTTTAGCGCTTGGGTCAGCACTCTGCAGTGCTTGGGTCAGATCTGACTCAAATTAGTGGTTCACCACAAGAAGTGCTATTTTGGGGGAAACCCACCGGAACATGATAGTGAGTGAGTCACAGGCCCACTACTCTTCAGCCAGGTAATGTAGAAACTGAATGAATCGATGAGTGTGTGTAAAAAGAGAGAAGCGCTCCAATCTCAGTCTGCTGCTAGTAATCTGGCTAATAAAATAGGTCAGCTAAAAGTAGCTTAGCCACAGGCTGAGGGAAAATGCAGAGTGTAGCCCCACTTGGCCCAGATATGGGGAAATGGAGGGAAACCCAAATCCCACCCATATATTTTGTGTGTTGGGTATCTAATAATATGGGGAAATGGAGGGAAACCCAAATCCCACCCATATATTTGTGTGTTGGGTGTCCACTAACTTCACAAGTTCAGTGGTATGAACATGGTATGGCAAGGGAGAGCCACTAGACCACGCAAGTAGCAGGTATCAGATGCCTGCAGTTCTTCTGTCAACAGGTGACCCAAAGAAAAACTCACCAAGGGAAACCCTACTCAGCGATGGACTGAGAGATGAATGCTGCACAAAGCCACAAAAACAGTTCATACCTAACTTAAAAAAAGAGAAGCTGCTAGGAGTTTATCACCAGCTTTGGACGACAGGTCATCTGTAGCTCTGACTGTTGTCACAATCTGTTATGCAGATAGGTCCAAGATGTACGTATGTGTGCACATACACAAGAAGGTATCCAGGTGTTAAG